AGAGGCAGTGAAGGTGGGTAACTGCGGGACTGTGCACCCGTGGAAGAGTGGGGGGGACACAGTACCAGAGGCGGCAGCTACCGAACGAAGGTTGCTCTCGACGTCCTTGAGTGCAGACTCAAGGACCTCGATAGTCAGCTCACTAGGGTGCTTCAGCAGAAGCGCGTCACGAACGGAGGCAAGGCGGTCAGGGAGGCTAGTGGCGATGAAATAGACAGTAATCGCCATGGGGGGAGGAAGCAGTGCAAGCTGTGCCTCAGTGCAAGCAGCGCGGTAACTAGCGTCGAGCGAGCGGAGGTGAGCGATCAAGTCAGCAGAGCGCTCAAACGAGGCAAGATCAGGAAACAGGAACGGGAGGAAAAGACGACCGAGAGAGACAGTAGCGGGAGTAGAGTAGCGGGCCTTAATCGCAGTGAGGTACGCAGCAGCGGTGCGAACCTGAGTAAAGTGGACCTCCTCGGACTCAGGGAGGAGGCTGCTGAGTGCGATGCAGGCCGCAGCGTCACGCGACGTCCAAGCCGTCCGGTCAGCGCGCTGACGGGCAAAGCGAGCCGTAGCAGCGTCGTCAGGAGCAGGGCCTAAAGCTGTAGGCTCGGGGGGCTCGGGGAGGTCACCAGTAGCGTGTGACCAGAGGGTCTCGCCCCCCTGGACCTGACTCTCTAACAGACGACGAGCGCGAAGAAGCCAGACGGAAAAGTCAAGGGGTCTACCGTCGGCGTCGAAACGAAGAACTCGCGGAGTCGCCATAGTGAGAACCAACGCGAACGAACAGGCGAGTAACAACCGGGGGGGAAGAGGACTCAGTCGCAGCGGAAGAGCGGGCTAGGGCGACGGGCCAAGACGTAGGGTAGGGCAACGGGCCAGGGCCTAGGGTAGGGCGACGGGCCAGAGCCTAGGGAGGGCGACGGGCCAGGGCCTAGGGAGGGCGACGGGCCAGGGCCTAGGGAGGGCGACGGGCTAGGGCCTAGGGAGGGCGACGGGCCAGGGCCTAGGGAGGGCGACGGGCCAGGGCCTAGGGAGGGCGACGCGACGGGGGAAAGGGCGGGAGGGACGCGACGGGGCAGGGCGACGCGACGGGACAGGGCAACGCGACGGGGCAGGGCGGCGCGACGGAGCAGGGCGACGGGACAGGGCAGGGCGACGCGACGGGGTAGGGCGACGCGACGGGACAGGGCGACGGGACGGGGGGGGTAACAGGCGGGCGCGACGCGACAGGGGGAACGGGCGCGACGCGACGGGGGGGAACGGGCGCGACGCGACGGGGGGAACGGGCGCGACGCGACGGGGGGAACGGGCGCGACGCGACGGGGGGAACGGGCGCGACGCGACGGGGGGGAACGGGCGTGACGCGACCGGGGAGATGGCGCTAGGCTCGGTACTAGGCGCGGTAACAACGAAACTGGTACGAACGAGAGGTAGGATCAGGCTCGGGAGGTACGAACGGAGAACGGAGGAACGGGATCCCACAGGATCCTAACCTAGCTGATACCATGTCAGAATGAGGAATGAAATGTTCCATTGATGTTGGTTGGGGTACATACCGTATGGCCCCGGATAGAAGCGCAGGCCTATGTTAAGCGCATGCGCTTGTTTCTGGAGCAATGCGCTTATGGCCGATCCTCAATTATAAGCGCACCCCTTTGGAATTCTTGACTTATTATAAGCGCACTCGTTTAGTTAAAAAAAAAAAAGAATTTCATTTTTTTTAACCTACCTAGCCTACATGTTCTAAACTTTCCATTAAGAATGACTATCACATACAAGGGTGGTCTCTGCTGTCCTGCACTACACCTTTCAACCTGCCTAGTCTACCCTACTGCCTTTTCTTCCTCCTCGTCCGACTCAGGCTCCGTGGAGTTGTTGCCCCAGAACCCATCTGCCTGGATGTCGTCGTCCACCTCCACCTCATGGGACAACTGGCACCTTCGGTGCGCTAGCACCAGTTTGTCTTCGCTCCCATCAAGGGCGTTGCTGATGCCGCAAGTGAGGAAGGCTTTCTTGATGAGGTCGGCGGGCACCGCCTTCCAGGCCCGTGAAATCCACTTGAGCACCACCTCCGGAGGTGGTTTCTTGATGTTCCCTGCATCACACGGAGTGGGGCGGGGAAAACATGAGACAAGTAAACATGCATTCAAGCTCAAGATTTGCAGACGGGAGCACATGCCGTCACTCACCTGCCGGGGTCAGGATGTTCATGCCGTCCTCCTCAAACCAATTTTGGTACTGCTGACGAATGCTTGCTTTGAAGCTTTTGTTGATCGACACATCGAGGGGCTGCAGGTCTGCCGTGCAACCCGCCGGAATGATAGCAGGCACGATGTTGAGCGCCGCGAATCTCGCCTTGACTTCTGGTGTCAGGTGACCGCGATACGAGTCGAGCACCAGCATGGCGCTACGACTCTGCAGGCCGAATTTCGGCTTCAGGAACGGCACCACGCCCGTGTTGAGCCACTCGATGACGCCTGCGGCCTCCATCCACCCGTTGGCTTGGCAGCCGACCACAACATCTGCACGCAACGAAAAAGAACAGTTAACGACTCAGGTAGTAACGGGAATAAACACGGTGGACGATCACTTACCGTTCGGGAAGTCACCCTTGGGGAGTGTCTTGCGCTTGAAAAACACCCACGGCTTCAGCTTCTCGCCCGTCGCCGTGCACGCAAGCATGACGGTCACTCTCTCCTTCTGGTACCCACCGCTGCGAATGGGCACCGACCTCACGCCCGTCTGCTCCACGGTGGTCGTCGCCGGCATCTCTAACCACAGCGGTGTCTGGTCGGCGTTGATGATGTAGCGGTTGTCAATGTCGTATTCGTGACGGGCGTCACGTACGTACTGCCAAAAATCATTGCACTGCTCAGCCACGTCTGCAGAACAGGGAGAAAGGTACATACAGTAAACCAAATTAGTATGACGCATAGGAGACATGCGAAAAAAAACTAAGCGCAATCGGGTACCCACCAAAATCAGCAGTAAACGACCCACTTACGCTCCTGTGTTTTCTGTGCCACCTTTGTTTTCATGCGCACGCTGAGGTTCCACCGCCTGCGGAACCGCTCCGTCCACCGCTGACTGGCTTTCCACTTGACGTCCGGGTATAGAACCTTCATCACTTCTTTGGACCACTCTTGCAGCCGGCCGACCGAAACCGCAACTCCGCGGCGTCGCCAGTCGAGGAGTTGCGCGTACACCTTTAACTCCATGGGGCGGTATCAAGACGACCTCCCGCGCCCGTGAAGTCGCATCCGTGCTCCGTGTGCAGCCTTGAGCGCATCCGCTTGGGCTTTCCATTCTGTCAGACATTTTCGGTGAATGCCTGACTCCCGCGCCACTTCGCTCACCGAAGCCGCAAGCTCGAGCCGCACGAGCCACCTCAACTTCTCCTGGGCGGTGTAGGACTGCCGCTTATGTTGATTCAGCTTGTGCCTGGGGGAGGGGGGGCGGGCATCTCGATTCTCGGTAGACGGGTGGGGGCGTTTTTTATTAAGGGGCGGATATGTCGGTACCGGCATCTTCGCGCGTGGTGCGTCGCGCCACCAGGACTCCACACCGTCCTCGTCCTCGTCACGGTCGGGGAACACGTCTTCCTCGTCGCCCGCTGCACCGTCGCCACCAGCTTCACCGTCGCCTCCAGCTTCGCCGGCGCCGCTGTCATGTTTATCGGTAGCCACATCATCGTCGGCGCCCACAGCCGACTCATCCCACGCGCAGGATTCTGGTTGTCCCCACCGTGGTGCAGTCGCTGGAGCTTGGATGCGTGCATCGCGGGCCTTCGGTGTGTCCGCTTCAGCCAACCATTCGTCGAACGTGGCTGGTAAATACAGTTGGAGCACGGGCCGTTGGTGAGCACCTGCCGTGGCAAAAGCAGGCGGATTCGGAGGAGCGGGAGGTGCGGGAGGAGCGGGTGGAGCAGGGGGTGCAGGGGGAGCAGGAGGAGCAGGGGGTGCAGGGGGATCCGGTGGCACTGGAGGCGCTGGTGGCTCACGGGTATACCACCCGTCTTCGGTAAGTCGCCATGTGCGGCGTGGCTTTTTCTTGAAGAGGATGCTCGTCCCACTAAATTCCGCCATGGCTTCGCCTGCCAGGCGGGGTTGACAAGGAACTGAATGAAAAAATCAGAGAAGAGGGTGAAGAAATGGGCAACGACGGTGACCCCTGCTGTGTGACGGCTCGGGTTCCTCGTCGATGACAGGCAGGAAACCCCCGCCCACTCCCGTAGAGGCGCCTGCGTGGCAGCATCTACGCTGCGCTGGCAGAGAATCTTGCCGAACCTTCGAGATGGTTCTGCCCGAATGCACATGCCTCGCAGCGCATGCGGCTCTGATTGGGCCGCACGACAACATCATCGTCACGGCTGTCACATTCTATGTTTCCAGACAACATTGTGCGGTGGTAAACCGAACCGCTGCGGTTTCTGCCTGAAAACCATGCACGATCCCACTTGGTGCATGGTCGGTTGAATTCGCCTTATTGAGAGCTTCACAATGGTGTGTTCAAAATTGATTTTCATTTTTCCCTTTATACAAGCGCATGCGCTTATAAATCTGACTCAATTATAAGCGCACCCCCCCAAAAAACAATGTTTTATTATAAGCGCAGGTGCGCTTCTATCCGGGGTATTACGGTATAACAAACCCTAACTTCTGTACCCCCTAAGACAAACCTCACTACAGGCTACAACATTTGACATTTTCCTTACAATGCCAAACCAGCTGATGCGAACTTCTCGCAACATACAAGCTAAAGCAGGTCTACAGAAATAAACTACAATTCTCTAAACAGACTCAACGAAATATACAGGCAATTAAAACTTTTACGGTAGATACCTTCGATCGACTTCTCCACAAATGCTACAAGCCACTTGCTAAGTTAGTGCTTGTAAAACCACTTAACTTGGAAATCCTTTTGTAACATCTTATTAACCAGGGGCCACACAACACAACACAACCCAAACCGACCAAATGCGGTTCTTAGTAATAATCTCCCGCATGACTCCACATTTAACCTGCTGTCGCGCCACAGCAAGTCTTGGCTGCAGCTTGCAATGGCTGCCTCGACCTTCTGCTGCACCAAGATGCTTTTCCTGCATATTAGAGACAACGGTGGGAGTGAGATGGTGGTGGGAGTGAGATGGTGGTGGGAGCGTGGCAGCAATAGGATTGAGTTCTTGCACAGCAGTACCATCTAGTAGGACTGATGCTTACATCCCAACATCAAGGTGGGCCTCCAGCCCCGCCCACAACCCCCGTTCCAAGTGATTTCTGAACATTCTCAAGATCCACACCGTATGATCCAGGGTGGGTGTTTGCTTCAAAGCGAGGGGAGGGCGGCTGGGCCTTGACTGAAGGGATGGGAGTGGGCGCATGCGAGTGGTAGGGTGCAGAGTTCTTGTCTGATTTTCCTCTCTCTCCCTCCCCCCCCGTTGCGCCTGGTCCGTTGCGCCTTGCTCCTTCTTTGCTCCACAGCATGTACATACCTGTCTGCATCATCTCCATGCATGAAGTGAGAGGCATGAGGTGAGAGGCATGATGTGAGAGGCATGAGGTGAGAGGCATGAGGTGAGAGGCATGAGGTGAGAGGCATGAGGTGAGAGGCATGAGGTGAGAGGCATGAGGTGAGAGGCATGAGGTGAGAGGCATGAGGTGAGAGGCATGAGGTGAGAGGCATGAGGTGAGAGCCATGAGGTGGGAGGCATGAGGTGCGAGTCTGGTAAATACAAGCACACTCCGCCTGCCCCTCCTTCCACAGCTGCCCCACTCCGCCTCCCCATAACAATTTTCCCTCACTCCGCCTCCCCCTCTGCCTTTTCCCCCACTCTGCCTCCCCCTTAGCCTTTTCCCCTCTCCGCCTCCCAGCTTTTTTCTCCTCTCCGCCTGCCCCTCAGCCTTTTCCCCCTCCCCGCATCCCCTTCAGCTTTTCCCCCTTGCAGCCTCCCCTTTCAGCCAGAAATGCCTGCGCCAGAACGCTCCTGAGCAGCCTGTGCGTCCCGTGGATGTGTGGGTGAGGGGAATGCCAGCGCAGTTCACACCGGCCCCTCTTGAGCATCCACCTGCTTCTTTCTTCCCGCACTCCCCACCACCCATGAACCAACTCTCCCCCTCCACCTGCCCCTCCTGCCACAGCTCTCTCCCCCGCTCCGTCTCTGTCAGCACGCTCTCGAGCAACTCCATTGGAGTGAAGGGAAGGTGCGTTGCTGCAAGCTTGGCTAGGAATGCAATCAGCAGCCCACAAGTTTCCGTAAACAGTGCACTCAGGGGGGTAGAGAGGGAATAATGGACCAAAACCAGTGCACATCCGCAGCAGTCGCAGTGTCCCCCATGAACAGTGCGGTCAGACATGGGTGCAGGAGAAGCAGGTGTGGTGCAGATCTGGTGGGGAGGGGAAGTTTACTGGCTGCACGGTGCACACCTGGGGAGGAGAGAGGGGAAAGGAGGGGCAGAGGGGCAAAGGGAGCAGCGCAAGGATGTGAAGGATCGCATGAGGGTTCGGGCAGGCGAGCGTCAAGTGAGGGTGTATGAGACGCTTTCGACAATTCTCACAAGTGACTCAGATGCAACCAGTTCTTCCCTCGAAGTCAAGTTTGTTTCTCGGTTTCAGAACCGGTTGGTGAGAGCACGGTACAATACAATATCAGGAGCTCATTAATCACGTACCACGTACTTACGGCAGTGCCTTGACACACGAAGGCATGGTGGGCCTGTAAGGCTGTCCCACTTGGCAGCGCTGTTGGACTCCGGGCAGGTGCGGAGCTGGAAAAGGGGGAAAGGGGGAGGGGGTAGGGGATGGGTAGAGAGGTGAAATGGTGTAAAGGGACGGGAAGGGGTAGGATACAGGGAAGGAGAGCGAAGGGGAATGGGGTAAGGGGAGAGGGAGGGTGAAAGCAAAGGAGAAAAGGAAGGAAGCAACGAAAGGGGGAGGAGGGGGTGGTGGAAGGGGGAGTGGATAACGGGAGTGGGAGGGGTAAAGGGAGGAGAAAGGGGAAAGGGGTACAGGGAGGGGACGAGTTGAGTGAAAAAGGGGTAAGCGGAGGGGTTAATGAAGGGGGGGGGGTAAGGGTAAAGGAGGGGGTAAGCTAAGGGTACGAAATGGTGGCCTTGCAAGCAGTTTGCCTGTTTGAGTGGGTGCGAGTGGGTGCGAGTGGGTGTGGGTATAAAACCGAAGCACAAGAGAGCAGATCAGATCAGATCAGATCAGATCAGATCAAGAGCCATAAACGAGGGCAGGCGTGGCGTGGGAGGAAAGTGTTGTTGGGGAATGGATGGGAATGAACAGGTTGGAAGGAGTGAATGGGAGAGAACAGGAAGCTGAGGCCGGAAAGGAGGTTAGAAAGGACTGGTGAATAGTTGGGAATTGTAAGGTTAGGCAGGGTAATCGCAGATCCTCTAAAAAACCCTCCAAGCATAAGCATCCTCTGCTGCCCCAGCCAGCCCCATCAGCAGCCCCTTCTTAAGCATAAGGCCCATCCTCTGCCCCCGCTCGAACGATACGCAGTTCCTACGGCTTCAATCCGCAGTCAGATTCAATACTCGCGCGTAGGTCCGTGTCTGAAAAAACTCTCCAGCTTCGTTCGCTACACCATTTGCAATGAGCCGCACAGGCATGTTTGAGAAGTCTCAACTCCCCCCTTCTCTCCCCCCCCTTCTCTCATGCTCGTTCCTCAGCAGCCTGTGTGCCCCACCCACCCCGCCGATCAGTAAGCACGGCCTGGCCGATGCGCTTCACTCGCTTCTGCTTCCGTGTCTGCCTCTCCTTCCTCCGCCTCACACCCATGCTCTCCCACGTTGCCCAGTTCACTAGCACCCGTTCCCCCTCTCAGCCCCCTCCACTTCCCCCTCGGTTCCCCCACTCGCGGCTCCTCTCGCGCCCTTCCTTGCGCCCGCGCTCTTGCCCCTGGCGCGCGCTCTCCCCCATTCCCTCTCTCCCCCCTTTAACCACCCCTCCGCCTGCCTCTTCTCCCCCATCTTGCTCTGCATCCTGCCCCGTTTTCTCCCACCCGGCGCAACGTTTCCGCCAAACTCGAACCACACACGCCCACATCTTCCCTCTCCCCTCCATGCGCCTTCCCCTCCCCCTCCGTACGGCCGCCCATCATTGCTGGCCCCATCTGCGCCCTTTCTCCCACTGGCGCGCAAACCTACTTCCGCAGACTCTCGAGGAGGCGGCGGTAGAGGTGAGAGCGCAGCGCGGGTGGCGGCGGTTAGGAGAATATCCACGCGGAGCGCGACTGGCGCGGGCTTCCGTCGCCTTTTCGAGTCGCCGCCGCCACCCCCGCCTGTGCTGCTCGCAGAGATGGTGCTATTTCCGCCGCTGCCGCTGTCGCCGCCCTTGCCTCCGCCGTTGCCCCCGCCAGGAGCCCCGCCTGCGCGGCCTTATCCGCCATTGCTGCTGCTCCTCGCGCCTCTGCTGTCGCGGCTCTCCGCCATCGCGGATTTTATCGCTCTCGTCGCCTACCGTCGCTCTGTCTGTCACCGTCTTGTCGCCGTGCGCCGACGCCGCCCCTCCGGCCTGTGCTGCTCGCAGCGACAATGCTGCCGCCACCGGGTTCCGCCGCCGGGGAGCCCCGCCTGCGCGCGCGTGCTTGCCCCAGCCGCCATTGCAGCTGTTCCTTGCGCATCTGCTGTCGCGGCTCTAAGCCATCGCGAATTGGTTCTCTTCGCTCTCGTCGTCTACATTCGTCTGTCTGTCGCTGTTTCGTCGCCCTGTCGGTCGCTATTTCGTCGCCATGTCTGTCGCTTTTTCGTCGCCATCCGTCGCGCTCTCGTCGCCCTGTCTGTCGCTTTGACGCGATCGATATCGAGCCACTATCTGACGCCCCGTTGTTGGCCTCCTACCCCTCACTTTCTAAATGCGGCTCCCGTGACTCCAGCGTGGCCAGCGGCCCATGTTTGGCCAAATGGCTGCCCGACGCAACCTAGGCATACGTGCTTTGTTATGAAGTGATTCACAAACGAATTGAAATGCACCGTTCCGATAGCTACAGAGTACAGCTGATGCTCGCTAGAGTCCCCCAACTTTGGCAGGTCTCCCGGGCTTATAAACGATTCCGTCACTTCGACGGGTTCGCACAGTTTCGCCACGGGTAAAGAGTGCGTATACACAACTCGGGTTGTAACAGGTTTGTTTTTAGCCCAACAGTGCCGGTTTGCAACCTTTGTTGTTTGTGTAATCACACAGTTACCCATTTTTCGCGCATTCACTATCAGACCCGATTACATTTCACAACCCCCCTTGTCACAAACAAGTACATCCAAATACCCTGCCAATCACAACACCCCACCTGTGCACCTGCCTGACGTCACGTGAGAACACATTCACAACATCAAATTGTGCACAAGTCGTGCACAATTTGATGGAGGAGCCAGTCTCTCACCACCTCGCCAGAGGCACAAATTGCCTCACATCCGCATCCATTCTGCGGCGGCGACGTAGCCGCTCATGACGGCCGGGAAACCCGCCTCGATGAGCTCCTGGCGGCGAGCAGTCTGTGCCACCCAGTCAGCCGTAGGCACCGTCATCCACGCCGGGAGGACCCTACCACGGGGACGGGGGGTCTCTGCCTCCGGGGTGGAGGCAGTCGTCATGGCGGGGGGCGGGGTCGCGTTGAGGTTCAACGGCGGGCTAGCGCGCTCCATCCGCGCCCGGATGATCGGGTTGCGAATGTCGAAGATGGCGCACAAGTCCCGCGGTGTGGTGCAGGTCGCCTTGGCGTAACCGATGAGCATCTCGCATGCCGCGCGAGCAGTGCGCCTCGCTTCGCGGGACGCAGGGTCAGCGTCATCGTAGACCTCCTGCATGGTCGAGGGAGGCGCCCACGTATCATGCGAAGGGGCCGGCACCGGCTCCGCTGCGAGCGGATCATCACCCGGCTCCGCGCAAGTGGGCTGGTTCTCGTCGAAACCGACGAAATCGTTCGCCGCCATCGCGCTGGATCCGAGGCAGAGCCGGTCGATGAGGAGGCCGACGTCGTTGACCTCCTCAGCAAGGCCGATGTCGGCCACGGTGCAAGGGTCGCGGATAGCGCCCGCCCCCACGTGCACCAACTCCATGGCCCAGGCGCGCGGGAGGCATCCCGTGCGCCACCAGCATCTCTGGATGGTGCGTGGCGGGATATTCATCCAGGCATCGCTCAGCCACGCGATCACGTCTCGGAGGTTCGGCCTGAAACGAGCCGCTGCGGAGGTGGCGCCTTCGGCAGCCCACATGCCAGTGAACTTCCGCAGCCAATGTGCGCGATAACGCGCCTTCGCCATTGCAATCAGGCCCTGGTCAAGGGGCTGGGTGAAGCAAGTCGTGTTAGGCGGCAGGTAGACGAGTCGCACATTTTCGAGCTTGCGGGTGCGGAAGCCGAAGAGGTCCTCGGTGATGGCACCCCGTGTCGTGAGCGTGTGACTGCTGGCATTGTCGAGCAGTATCACGATCTGCCGCCCCTCCGCAAACATAGCCGCATCCAGCTGCTCGATGTAGTGCGTGAAGAGCTGCGGGGGGGAAGGTGGTGTCAGTAGAGCTACACTGTGAGATCCCCGATCGATCCTAGAGGGGGTTACAGGCGCGTTTGCCTGGGGGGTTATGGGCGCACTGACCCGCTACTGAAACAAGCCCTTTTATCCCAATGGTCTAGTGGTTGGGATTCTGACATGGTATCAGAGCGGTCTCGGGTTCGAATCCCGGTGTATGCACATGTTGGTCGTTGCCACTGTGCTCAGTCCTGGGCCTCCCAGTGTGGGGGGGTGTCAGTAGAGCTACACTGTGAGATCCCCGATCGATCCTAGAGGGGGTTACAGGCGCGTTTGCCTGGGGGGTTATGGGCGCACTGACCCGCTACTGAAACAAGCCCTTTTATCCCAGTGGTTTAGTGGCTGGGATTCTGACAGGTGGGTGATGGTGAACAGTAATGAGTGTGACATAACTCGGGGAGGGTGTCAATGCGGCTTTCAATACTAGCGGCCTCCACGACGGAACTTACCGCGGTAGTCATCCACCCCTTGGCAGTGTTGCGCCAGTAGCAGAACTCCTCCGGGTCGTAGTCGGGGCGAAAGTCGTGCGGGCGCCGGGCTTTGGAGATCACGAGAGGGCGGAACAAGGTAGAGCCGTCGGCGTTGACGAGGAAGCCGATGGTGAGCCTCTCTTTGCCATTCTTCTTGCCCGCAACACGGCCCGTGCAGTAGGTCTTCCGCGGCAGAACGGAAATGTAGAGGGCCGTCTCGTCAAAATTGAAGGTGTCGCGTGGCCTCACGTTCAAATGCATAAGGAGCTGCGGCAGCTTCTCCTGCGTGGTGCGCACGGCCGTCATGTCCTGGTCGGCCGCCTCGCCAACCGCACTCAAGCATCTCACGCCCTGGCGGCGTAATGCGCGACGCACCCAGCCGATGGAGCAACGAAACGTAGCCGGCAGACCGTTCTCGCGGGCCATGTAGGCAACATGGTCCCGAATAGTCGCAAGGGTGAGAGGCACCCCAGCTGGCCCCGCCCTGGCTATCCACCGTGCCATGGCGCGCTCAAGCTCCGGATACGCGCCGCCGCGCACACGTACGGCGTTGTCATTGGTGTCATCGGTAGCCCAGCGGTCAGCACTTTTCAGGACGCGCCCGATGGTTGAGCGGTCGGGGCGGATTCCGAAACGAGTGAAGCACCATCGTGCGAGGTCAACGTGGCGCAGCTGGGGGTGTTCGACGTGGTGCGCGCATATGGCGCGCTTGATATGCAGGGGCAGCTGAGCTCGGTGATAAAGACGAGCCATTTAGAGCCTCGGTGTTGGGGTGAGAGAGTGATTGGAACTGATTTTCCAATCACTCTTTATGGTGTTGTGATTCGTTAGTGTGTAAGTGTGGGTTTTTTGCTCAGACGAAATGTGTGCAGATTAAGGTGGATGGTCTCCAGGGAATTGTGCTTCAATGTGAACACGTACATAGGAGCGTGACGTGTTGGGGTGCGCAACGTGAGGCGGTCAGTGGGCCTGTACCGAGCTGGTGCAAGTACCACGTGGCGGTGGGAATTCGGCCACAATTCTGTTAAGGGCACCATGACCCTTCAGACGTGGCAGCCGGTTCATTTTGTTCTGGTGTTCGACGTTGTGCGAAGCTCGTCCATAGCTTTCGCACTGCCTGTTTTTCGCCCAAGACCCTGGTTGAGTTGGGTTGGCAGGGTCTGTTTTGTGATGCAGGTTCTCTTTTGGGCGCATTCACGCACGAGAACAAGTGGCTGCAGGGGTCTGTACCCAGGGTGCAACATCGCGGCAAAGATGCCACGGGTGCAGAGTTTCTGGTGGGTGGAGGGCAATTTCGCGTGCAGGGGTTGGGCATCGACTGTACCACTCGATGGTCCATCAATGTCTGAAAACGAGGGTCAAATAGGCAGATTCTAGCTAGGCGAGGGCCTCGGGGCAACGAGGCTCGGAAGTGTGACGTAAGGTGCGGAGGCGAGTCGAAAGTGGTTCGGCGCGATAACGTAGGCCGAACCAGCTGACACGAGCGCTTCGGAACATACACTAACTCCAAGACATTTGTACAGCAAAATTAACATAATTGGTTAGAAATGAAAATAACTCCAAGACATTTCTCTACAAATGCTACGAAGTCACTGGCCAAGTTCAGCCATTGCTGGTAACCAGTCATGAGTTCCAAAAAGAAACTTACACACACATTTTTAAAAAGGGGTGCACAACCCAAACTTCCACCACCATTGAGCACTTGACTGCAGTACGCCTTACCCGCGGCCTGGCTGCCTGGAGTGAGACGGTGGTGGTAGTGAGATGGTGGGAGTGAGAAGGTGGTGGGTGTGTGGTGGGGGTTAGATGGTGGTGGGAGTGAGATGGTGGTGGGAGTGAGATGGTGGTGGGAATGAGATGGTGGTGGGAGTGAGATGGTGCAGGGGGGTGAGATGGTGGTGGGAGTGAGATGGTGGTGGGAGTGAGATGGTGCAGGGGGGTGAGATGGTGGTGGTGGAAGCAAGATGGTGGTGGGAGTCAGAGGGCTGGGTGAGTGAGACGGTGCTGGAGTGAGTCCTTCGCAGTGCAGAACCCATAAAACTGGGGAAAAGTTTTGACGCGCCTCAACTTATGGGACTAATACTTGCATCCCGACACGAGGCGCAGTGCCCTGTGCAACGATGGGCTACACACTATGACGAGAACAGTATAGAGAGGATAGAGGACAGCGCGAGGAAATAGTGGAGGGAATGGGGGAAGGCGCAAGGGAACCACAGAGAAGGGGGATGGAGAGAGGAAAGGGATTGGATGAGGAAGGTTATGGAGTAAGGAAGGGGAACAAGAAAAATAAACGGACCTGAATAGAGGGTAACTAGGCAGCAAGGATGACCAAGAACCCGCTTTCTTCGGAGGCGTTGAAAAAAAAGAGAGACAGGAGCCACAAACCCATTGAGCAGACATCTAGTTGGGGCCGGTTAGCGGGAGACGGCAAGGATGGACTAAAAGGTGCTTCTTTTTCAGAGATATATCTTCAGATTTCTCACCATACTCAGCTTCACTCACCTCTGCCCTGGCACATCACAGAACTGCCTACCGTCAGATGAGAAGCCACCTGCACGCATGGCATGTGTGCTGTGCTGCCATGCCATGTGCCCCTCACGTGCTGCATGCCTCCACGCCCATGTAAGTGGTGGGCTGAGCTTGCCACATTCGTCTCCTCCCTTCACCTCCCCGTCCTTCTCCTCCCACCCCTCTTCCTTCTTCCCCTCCTCTTCCTTCTCCTCACCTACTGCATCTCCCCCCCTCCCCTCCTCACCACCTTTGCTCCTCTCAGCCCTCGTCATCTCTTGCTCCTTCCCTTATCCCTTCCCTTCTCCCGTCTCTCTTCCCGTCTCTCCTCTCTCTCTCCACCCTTGCCCTCGCCTACCTACTGCTTTCCATCCACCTCCTATCTATCACCCACTGTCCCGTCCGCGCTCTGCCCCCACTTCTGCACCTCTTCCCGCATGCTTCATCCTCTACCCACGCCCTTCTCTCCTCCCCCCTGCCCTCCATCCCACCTTCCCCTAACCTTTCCCCCACCTCCCCTCCCGCCACCACTGTGGCAGTACACGCCCCGTCACGTCTCTTTCCACCCATCCCGTGCCTCCTGCATACCTCCCACCATTGCCATCGCTCCCATTCTCCCCATGCCTCAAACCATCGCCATGGGTTTCATCAAGCCCAAGCCTCCCACCACTCCGTACCACCGCGCGTCTGTTTTCCTCCCCCTCTTCTTCTTCTTCCTCCTCCTCTTCCTCCTCCTCCTCCCCCTCCCCCTCCCCTTCTCCCTTCCCCAACCCCTCCAGGTTCCTCACCTCCTCTCAGGTTCCATCCCCATCTCACGTCTCCTGATTCCCCCCCTCCCTATAACTCCGCTCCCCTTCCTCCACCCCCACCTCACCCTGTGCATGTCTCGCCAGCACCACCATGCGTGTCAAGCGCCTCACTCGCTTCTGCTTCGGTGTCTGACTCTCCTTTTCCCGCCTCACGCCATGCTCTCCCACGCCCCTGGGTAACAGGGTTCTCGCGCACTCGCCCTTCCCGGTTGGCTTCCACGTGAGCCCCAGCGCAACCCCCCCCCCCCCCCCCCCCCCCCGCCCCCCCTCTTGCCTCTGGCGCATGATCTCCCCCGTTCCCTCTCTCTCCCGCCTTTCCCACCTCTCCGCCTGCCTCTTCTCCCCTCCTCTTCTCTCCTGCTCCGCCCCCTGTTCCTCCTCCTCCCGCCCCTCGCCTCGCGTCTGCCAAACTCAAACCACACGCGCCCACATCCCCCTTTTCCCCTCCCCTCCATGCACCTCACCTCCCCGCTCCGCCTCCCTTCCACCCCCGCGCGGTCGCCCGTCACTGCTACCCCCATCTGCGCTCCCCACCCACTGGCGCTCCCTTGGAGGCGGCGGTAGGGGCGCGCGCTCCCTCTTCGCGCCGCTGCCACCGCCGCCGCCGCCGCCGCCACTCCGGCCCGTGCTTCTCACAGCGACACATGCTGCGTCTGCCGCTTCCGCCGCTGGGAGCCCCGCCTGCGCGCGCATGCTTGCCCCAACCGCCATTGCTGCTGCTCCCCGCGCATATGCTGCCGCAGCTCTCCGCTATCGCAAATTGTTTTTTTGTCACTTTATCGCCGTGGAAAGTCGCTCAATTGTCGCTATCCGTCACTCGCGTCGCAGTCCGTCGCTCTCTCATCGCCGCACGTCGCGCTGTGTCATCTCTTGTCTGTCGCTCTGACGCAGTAGCGTTTGCGCCACCACCTTCGATTGACAATGTAGTATCGCCACTGTATGATGTCTCTCAACAATTGTCAGGCTTGCGCCTCCTGTTTGCCCACCCGCCATTGTTGCTGCTCCTTGCGCCTCTGCTGTTGCGGTTCTCCGCCATCGCGAATCGCCTCTTCTCGCTCTCGTTGCCCCGTCTGTCGCTTCGACGCGACGGCTATCGAATTACCGTCCCTCGCTCTCTCGTCGCAGTGGGGTGTCAAATGACGCCCCACTATTGCCTTCCCAGATCCTTACGTCCTGATACTGAACGCAGGTGCTGTGAATTCCTACAAAATCGAGCACGCAGCCCCATGCTAGCTAAATGTCTGCGATAGGAAATCTAGGTTGTGCAACAAATTGTTGACCGCAGGGTTCTACAAACTAGAAAACTACAACTGAATGTCCCACGAATGTCTAAAACGAGGATAAAATAGGCAGACCCGAGCTAGGCGAGGACTTGGGGTTAGGCTAGGCTTGGAAGGCTGCCGAAAGGTGCGGTGGCAAAACGTAAGTGGTTCGGGATGCGTTTGTAGGCCGAACCGGTTGAAGCGAACTTGTCGGCACATACAAGCCAAAGTAAGCCTACAGTAAAAATCTATACCTCATTATACAACGCCCAACGAAATTAATAAATCACTTGGTATTTTTTTCTAACAGCCCCAATTGAGTTTTCCGCAAATGCTTCAAGCTCAATGTCAAGTTTAACAATCAGGGGTTTAAATTCATGCGCTAGCCATTGCAGTGGAATTGTGTCACTTACGCATATGTTTCTAACATTTTATAAATGAAGGGGCAGACACAACCCAAACTGCCTGCATCGAGTTAAAGCTGCGGAACAGATATCGTCACTTCGGTTCAAAAGTTTCTAACTTCAAAATGTAGCCGGGTTGACTGCCAAAGCGAAAGGTTTGGTGCAGGGAAACGTGTGGGGCAAAGTGCCAAACAGCACCGCATGATGAGGGGAGTCCATTTCCTTTCTCTTCATCTCAACACCACTCACTCTCTCGCTAGCCAATTGGAGACTTGGGTGGCACAGTGCACCGCGGCTTGATATATTCTCCATCAAACGAGGCGTTCAAGCAATAGCTAGAAAGTCATACAACTCGGCACTTGACTGTAGCAAGTCGTAGCTGCAGCCTGGCTGCCTGACTCTTGCTGCCCAGGGCCCACGATATCAGGGCAAAACATCCTGATTACCCTGATTTCAGGATGGTGTCTTAATTTTGCCCTGGAATTTCAGAATGATGCTGAAATTTACCCTGTGACGTCAGGATGATCCTTGTGTTTTGCCCTGAAATTTCAGAATGGCAGTGAATTTTTGCCCTGAAGCGTTAGGGTGAATGTAGAGGGATTCCCTGACTCGTGGGAAGGGGAGAAAGGGTGGAGGGGGGAGAGAGGGAGAGGGAGAGAGGGGAGGAAGGAGGCTGGAGGGTGTGTGTGCTAGTTTTGTCCTCACCCCTCCCCCACCAATGTTTTTGCTCCGCCAGTGGAAGTGAAACCAGTGAACAACCTGCTCCTTTCGTGCCTTCCCCTCCATCCTCTCTAGTGCCTCGTATTTTTTGCCCTGAATCATCCATATGAATTACTGCTGGTGCCCTGAAATTTCAGGATGGCCAGAAAATTCTGCCCTGAAGAATCAGGGCATTTCAGAGATTTTTCAAAAGTTACCCTGAGGGCTCAGGGTGCCCAAAATCCTAGCACAGGCCCTGTTGCTGCCCGAGCAGGCTTCCTTTCCTTAATAGCAGAGGTGGTGGTGGGAGTGAGATGGTGGTGGGAATGAGATGGTGGGATTGTGATGGTGGTGGGAGCATGGCAGCAATGGGAGTGAGTTCACTGCACAGCAGTACCAACTGCTTGCATCCCAGCATCAGAAAGGGTCCAAAGCGGTCGTCGGTTTCCCCCCAGCTTCCCCAAAACCCCTCTCGCAAGTGGTTTCTAAACATTCTCAAATCCACCTGGCTTGATTCAGAGTGGTATGGTCCACATGCACCCACCTCCCTGGTTGACGGAGGGGGGGTTGGCTGGGCCTTGCCTGGAGGAATGGGAGTAGGTGAACGCATGTGGCCGCGAGCAGAGTTCCTGTCTGCTGTCTACCCCCCTTCCCTCTCTCACACTTCCGCCAGCCCTGTCTGCTTCATGCTTTGTCCGCATTCCCCTCGCCCAGGCCTGCTCCTCTCTGCCCCCATCCATCTGCTCCTCTCTACCCCCATCCATCTGCTCCTCTCTGCCCCCATCCATCTGCTCCTCCCTGTCCCCATCCATCTGCTCCTCTCTGCCCACCTAACTGCCTTTGTCTGCTCCCATCATTCCCCATCCACCTGCCCCTCTCAGTTGCCATCCATTTCACCATCATTCCCCCATCCATCTGCCTCCACAAACCCCTATGCCTCAGCAAGCACACCATCAACTCCGCACTGCACCGCATCACTCTACATTGAGCATCTGCAGACGATTTCTGAGACGCCTGTAACGGCACGCACCATTAAGAGCGCTCCACCTACCCCGCCTGAAACTGCTCCCCCCCCCTCCGCTCCGCCTCCCCTTCCTGCCATAACTGCCTCTGTCAAAACGCACCTGCAGGTGCGAGCAATGCAAGCACAGCTCACAGCACGTCCCTTCCTAAGCATCAATTTGCTTCTTTATTTCCTCCTGCCCCACGACTCAAGCACCAACTGCCAACCGCTCTGCCTCCACCTGAACGCTCTTGAGCAGCCTGTGTGCCCAACAATCTGCCAGTGCATGCGCCGACTGCTTCCAACCCCACCTCCCCTTCCTTCCCCTCCTGCCCACAGCTGCCTTCCAACGCTCTGCATCAGCCAGAATTCTCTAGAGCAGCCTGCACGCCCCAACAATGTGTGAGTGAGGGCGATACACTCGCAATAATCACACACCAACTTCCTCCTGCACTTCCTGCCCCTCCACCCCCATGGCACTCATGCAAGAGCGTGGTCAGCTCGATGCATGCCTGCCAGGACACAAAAGAACGGGAGGAGACACGGAGTTATGCAAGGACAAGGGATGAGGAGAGGGTGAGGTGAGGGCCATGTGGTAGCACAGGCAAATCAACACTAACAAAGAGGAAGGGGAGGTCCGCATCTACAGTTACCGGAGTTGGTGACCTCAGATATTTCCAGAGGAGAAGATAAGAGGTGACTTGGAATCACTTTTGAATTTGCAAGGAGCAGAGGTGGGGAGACAGTGAGGGCAATGCGGCAGCGCAGCAAAATGAAGCTCAGCTGGGAAGGAGGTGAGCTAGTGAGGGCAGCACGATTGATAACCAGAGAGGAAACAGGGAAAGCAGTGACCTCACCTGGTCACTTGGTCACCTGATCACAGCCACCTTGGGCCCCTTGGTTATGGTAGCCCGCACCCACCTTGGCAGCATGTCACACGGTGTGCTTTCTTCGCGGAGAACTATTTTGGCTTGGAGGCCAAGTAGAGTAGGGAGAGAAGGGAAGTCACTTGGTCACTTGGCTTCTTGGGTACCTTGGGGCACCCTGGCTGCGGTAGCTGGTACTTAAATAAAATATGTTGCTGTCTGATTAGTGCTGTCTAAATTGGTGCCAGTGGTCTAGTGGTAGAATAGCACCCTGCCACGTCATCACGGTGCAGACCCGGGTTCGATTCCCGGCTGGCACAATGCAACGTTTTGGTGGTCCCCGCAGTGATCGTTGGGTAATCCCTGCAACCAGCTCCTTACAATTCAAGGTACCTCTCGCTAAGGCATGTTCTCAAGCTATCAATGACTCTTTCTTGGCTGCGGTAGCCGGCACTCGCGGGAATGCTGCGCGCATTACCATTCACGCATTACCATGGTATTGTTTAGCATGAAACTACAACACATACAACTTCTTGGTTAGAACCACCACCCCACCTTTACTCACCTTGGACCAGGAAAACCTAGGAGAGAGCGACGAGCACGGAAATGATGTGCTCATTACCTCCCACGCATGCAATGCACTCCCAAATTCCCTACCCTTACTGTGTCCATGTGTGGGTTGATAGCACTAACACCCCACTCAGCCTCCTTATCAGCCTTGACACACCTCACTCAGCCTGCACTCACCTTGCTACCCAGGAGCAATACCTCTCAAACATGCGCTTCTGGGATAGCATAAACAGCCCACCTCGGCCTCTATTCACCTTGGCGAGGCGGCGTCGGGAGAGAGCCATGAGCATCGGAGTGCTGCGTGCGGCAGCGTCTGATAAGATTGCATGAGGGCCTTGAGAGGGTTGCGTCAAGGCCTTGAGAGGGTTGCGTCAAGGCCACCTGGGGGACAGGGTCGAGTGGAGGTGGTGAGGCGGGTGGTGGTGGGGGTGGTTGGATAGGGGTGAACCCTAGACCTGAAAGTCTAAACCCTAAACTGTATACGCTGCATGCAGAGGCGTCTGGTAGGATGGATCAGTGGGCCACATCAAGACCGCCTGGGAGACAGTGGGAAGGGGTGGGTGGGTAGGGTGGGGGTGGTTTGAGCTGGGAATGCTATGTGCAGTGTTGTAGTGGGGAGACGGGGGGGTGGGCCAGGTAGTTGGATAGGGACACCTGGGAAGCGGGAATGCTTCGTGCGATGGCATTTACTAGGATGGATGTGATGTGAGGCAGCATCAAGGCCAACTGGTGCCAGGGCGGAGCGGGAATGGATAGAGGTGGTTTAATGATGAATGCTGCATGTGTGATAATTCTTAAAATAAAAATGTAAGATATAGTGTCTTGCACGATCATCCCCACTCCTCCTCCCCTCACCTGTCCAAGGCAACTCTCTCACGCAAGCTGCCAGCACCGCACACATTTGCACTCTTACAACCGTTTTCCCTCCCCTCCTCTTTCGCACCTGCCCCAGGCACCTCCCCCAGGCACTCCTCCACATTAGGCGGCAGCACCACACACTTGGCCCTCCCACTGTGCACTCGTGCATTGTTCTCCATCGCACTCCCTAACCTCCCTTTCCCCCATTTTCCCTCACCACATTCGGTGTCAGCAACACACACTTGGCCCTCCCATCCCCATGCACTCGTGCCATGTGGGGGGCAAGGCCCTCACATTCGGTGCCAACACCACACACATATGCACAAGTCACCATCACCAGCACGCTCACGCCCCTACCACCCCGCTCACATGCCCATTCCCTTTCTCACCAGAACTTCTCTTTCACCTTGCACCGCCTGTCTCACCCCCCCGTACCCCGCATCGTCCCACACCTAGCCTCGTTTCCACCAAACCCAAACCACTCGCGCTAGTATCCCCCCCTCCCCCCTGAGCCTCCCCTCGCCAATCCGCCTCCCCATCCCCCTCCGCACAGCCGCCCGTCACTACTGCCCCCATCCGCATCCCATCTCCCCTCTCCCCCCCCCCTCTCTCCCCTCCTCTTCCCCCCCCCCCCCCCCCCCCCCCCCCCTATGTTGGAAAAGTCGCGCCCAGCGCACTATACGCAAGCGTATATACGCTTGCGTATAGTGCGTTATGCGCTTCGTGAGTGACTTTGAAAGTCGCAGAAAGTACGCTGCCTGGGCAGCAAAAGGTTTTTACCGGGCAGACGAAAAAAACCGCCGAAGGAAGGGGGGGGGAGTGGTGGTTTTACCGAATTTCATATATTGAAAAAACCCACCATTCTCAACTACTCTAAGCAAGCAACATGCATCTCTCCTACCCCACCCCCTACTCCCACCCTCTACTCCCCCCGTCCCTTCCTTCCTCCTCTACTTGTACTCATCCTCCAGCTCATCCTCCTCCCCCTCCTCCTCATCCTCCTCCATAACCTCGTTGTACCCTTCCGGCAGGGAGGCCTCAGGGATGTTTCCCGGGAGAACCGTCACCCACTCAGCCCCCTTGTGCCAGTTGCGCACAATGTTCCAATTGTGCGCAACATACACGAGGTCCCGACACTTCTCAGACCCCAACCTGTTGCGCTTGGCACTGTGGATCGATTCCCACACTGCCCAGTTCCTCTCACACGCCGATCCGGACACTGGCTGAGAGAGAACGCGGGAAGCGAGCGTTGTCAGCTCGGGGTGCTCCGTCCCGTGCCACGTCCACCACTGGACGACCGTCTTCTTACCGGCCTTCATGAGCTCACGGTCAGAGATGGCGTCGGGTAGGCCGAAGCTCCCCTGAAGGGTGTTGAATGCCGCCAGGCCGTCCTGGATGACGTGGGATGCGCGCAGCTCCTCGCCATCCTTGCGCGTGACGGTCCGCCCTGCGTAGTGACGAGCGACAAACGCTTTGAAGACGCGAGTACACTCCAGGTTGGTGCGGAAGATGCCTTCCTCTTGGTTGACCGGGTTGAGGATCCGGCCAACCACGTGCATGGCACACGCCATGCTATGGTCCCAGCGCTTTTGGACGATGTTGGTCACCTCCGTGCGTTCACTGCTGGACAGCACCAATCCCGCCTCCTCCTCCTCCAGCTTCGCATTGATGTCTTCCGTGAGCTGCAGCATCAGATCGTACATCCTGCCCATCATGCCCTTGGCCGTCGAGTCGGTCTTGCGCATGACGACAAAGGGGATCTTCAGGAGGGCGACGAAGAACCCCGCACCTTTCCACCACAAGGCATCCATGATCATGGTTGCGAAGGGCTCGACCTGCGGCTTCCTCCCCTTCGCCCAAGCCTGCCACTCCGGGCTCAGCACCATCTGCGTCAATGCACTCCGCACCTCGCAAAGCCGCTGCACCGCGATGAATTGCGTGCCAAATCTGGTGCCCGCCGGCTTCAGCACCTGCTTCCCCTTCCCTCCCTTCACTTGCGGGCTTCGCATGTAACCTTTGGTGAAATGGTGGGCACGTACAAAGGTAATAATCACCCCCGCCTTAGCCACAATGTCCTTCGCCCAATCCATTTTCCCAATGTCCTCCATGAGCAGATCCATGACGTGAGTAGCGCACGGCACATGCTCAATGTGAGGATACTCAAGCATGAGTTCCCTACATGCAGCCGCATAATTGCTGCCCCCATCCATGCATAACGCAACTATGTTGGCGGGCCCCACCTTCTCAATGATCGGGCGCAAAACGGATGCAATGTAGCCTCCCATCTTCGTCTCCAACTTACAGTCGATGCTTTCGGTGAACACAGCACCGGAATCGTTGATGAGTAGGATGTTGGCTTGGGGACGGCCACTTTTGTCCGTCATCATGTTCGAGCCTATCGTCACGCCATCCCGCTTCTAGCTCACAGTGATAGGAGCGAGCCCCCTCTCGATCTTTTCGCGGCAGCGCACAAGGCCGGCGCCACCTACATACCGCCGCTTCGGGAGAACGTAGCCATGGCCCGCGTCTGTGATGCAGCCCACAGCGTTGCGCCAGAGAGGGTGATCGGCGAGATGCTCCGGGAGGTGAAGTGCCGCCCACATGAGGCAGATGGCGTCGTCTGCCGATTCCTTCGCACACGATGCCCCTTCCCCGTAGAAGTCTTCGATGCACTGCTTCTTCGCTCCACCCGCACACGCCTCGATCGCCATCTCCTCCGCCTTCTTCTTCCCTTCCCTGCGGGCGTGTTTGCCTTCGTACAATTCGCGGACGGCGCCGCGGTCAGCAGAAGGGATAGGCGCCTTGCAAAGACGGACGTCCTTCCGTTTCAGCCCTTTCCAGCGCGTGATGTGTTGCGCGCAACGGAAGGCGCCCCCTACGAACTTAAGCTTGCAGTGCCGGCATATGCGGAGAGTACGCTCAGGACCATTCGAGGTACCTTCGGTAGAGGTAAGGAAATGCTTAAAAATAACATGGGTGTTCACAGGAACATCCTCGTCGTCCGCCATGGTCGCGTCATTCGAAACACTAGGAGCCTCACTAGTGGCACTTGCGGGAGTACCAGAAGGAGCCGACATCAAGTGCAGGTGAGCTGGAGTGTTGAGAGAGAATGAACGAGAGAGATAATACAGATGATGGGAATGAGAGCTTACCTTATAGTCCAGGATGTGGTTGAACCACCTACGCTGGTTGACGACATTCGTGTTTGTGTGTTGGAGTCGCGTCGCGCGATAGCATAGGGTGCAGTGCGGTTCAAATTTTCCCACGTCCCCATATTTTGACAGGTGTGGGTGACAATGTGGTTGGGACGTGCGTACAAATTGGGGTGGGACGTGCGTACATTTTGAGTCGCGTCGCAGATTCGCAATTCGTGCGCGACTATTGAAATCTGGTTTTTTTTCGGGTCAGCCCGAACTTTCGCCAACGAATATACTGTCAAAATATGTTACATATTTTATATAATAGTTTGCAGTGTAGTGTAGATAGTGCATCATGTTTGGTGGTGCACCTCCTTGTGTTGCTGTTTGCTATTTGTACTCACAATTCTCATTAGTGCATCACTTTCTTGCCTTGCATTTGCTCTCACTACTCCCGTTCTACCTCACTTATGCTCCTTGGCTAGGCTTTCTCCTAGCCTAGGTAGCTTCTTAATCTTGTTATGCTATCAGAGCTGTTCGTTCCTGCGGACAATTTCTTATTAATGGGCCCACCGCTAACCCATGCAGAAGGTGCGAGCAGGCCGGCCGCACGAGGAGACAGTGGGGGCATGGCAGGATGTGAGAGAGAATGGCAGGGCAAGGTGAGAGCAGGCAGGCCTGTTAACACGTGAAAGGCATGGCAGCTATGACGCATTAACAGGTCTTGCCAGGTGGCACCATGCAAGAACCGGCGTATCCACCCAGAGCATGTGTCCGCTTCTTCCTACGCGAATTTCTAGTCCTGTGTTCACGTGTCGTCAAGTCATTACCCATAAAGCCCACCTTTCACGTCAGTGATAGACCACACTGGCAACAAAACGGCTTGCTGTTGTGACGCCATGCGGGAATAGCGAAACACGGGAGGCTGCAGCGTACCATCAGCGTTGCCGCGTCCTTGTAACTCTCTCATTCATCGACCCTGAGATTTTTCACCGCATGGACCCATAACCTGCCGTCGCCTCAGAGGGAAGACGCCTGAAAGAGAAGTCCGAAACAACATCTCCGATTGGGCCGAGCCGCCTGTGCATGCAGTCGATCGTTAGCACCTCATCATTTGACCCACGCGGCGAACGACGATTCGGCTCAACAGGCAACGGCGGGCGCTAAGAGAAGGCTACGACTGATGACGTTCGGTTGGAGAGAGGGAAATGGTACCGGCAGGAACGGCACGGGGTGACAGTGCGGATTCCGTTCGGCGGGATCGATCCCAACCGCAGCAAGATGGATTGTCACTCGCCGCGGCGGCAGCACTGACTCACGGCACCGTCGAGGATGAGAAGCAGAAGGAGAGAGATTGAGGCGTGTGAGCACAAATCGGGGTTTGGGATTCGCGAGCGAATCTGCTGCTGCATGCGAGAAGCTGTGCGCGGCCCGAAGCATCGCTGCGTGGCGGAAAAAGAGCCCCACGCTGCCTGCGAGAAACTGTGCTCGACATCGGTTCACGTTGCTTGAGGGTTATCGCCGCGGTGACTTCCAGGCCGCTAAAAGTAGTAGTCGCAGCATGTAACTAATGCGCTACTACAGAAGCCGACAAATGACATGTGTTTTTTTGACAATGTAAAACAGCGATGTCGCTATTACTCTTGCTCCTGATTTACGCCTAAAATAACTCCCGTCACTTGGGAATTCTACAGAGAGGCAGCGACGAGTTTCTGCTGCGCCAGAAGCTAGAAATGGTGGAACAAGGTGCTCGGCCATTTGACTAGGACGGGGATGTGAGATCGCAATTCCTGGGATGCACTCGAGTGGAGATCGAACCCTATCTATTTCAGTATTTTGTGCGATCGGACGGGTTCCCTTCACGAGCGACGACGACATTTCCGCACAGGGTTACAGGAAACTGCTGTTGTCAACGAGCCAAGAATTGACCAGGGATGCATCGGCTGGTTACCTGAAATTGAATCCCAGGGAAGCCTTGCGGCGGGGCATGCAAAGTCTCCAAAGTGTTCCTTCGGTCACATTTCGGTTGCCTTCCGTTGCATATCGAACACGCCCTCCTTCCACACACCCCAATCCCCAGCACCTCCGTGTCCTTCCACTTGTAAAACAGAGTAGCTGTGACTACTGGAGGGCTGGAAACTTGGCTGGAAAGTCTTAGCAGGGCTGCTGGAATTGACTGGATGAGGTAAAACTTCACTATGTTCAAGATTAACAAGCCCACTAAAGCACAACTCTATAGGCATCACAAACAAGACAGATTGAAAGCTCAAACTAGGCTGATAGACAATGTAACTTCCCTGGTAACCTGGGCACAATCTAGATTGGATGGACCTTGAGTGACTTTGAGTGCCACATGAGGTGCATGAATAAGAAAACTCTGGATATTTCTGTTATAGCTGATTCTGATGTGTAGAAACCTGTAGAAACTGCCAACACTTCGGTTTGAAGGCAGCTTTGAACTGTATCGAGTCTTCGGCTGAAATCTGATTGGTGGTGGAACTTTCGAAGTACTTCCCGAAGCCTCTGATTCATCGCCGACATTCCCCCTTGCTGCTGCTTGTGTGCAAAGGGCTGGGGCGGCAGAAACTCGATTCTCCAACACTCCCCCTCGCACCAGACCCGAAGCACACATACACCCATGCTGATGCTCCTTTCACATCTCCTTAGCATACACTTCATGCTGCTGCCCACGTCTCTTCCCCTCACACTCCTCATTCTCCTCAAATTGCTCCACTGCTTCATGAAGTGTCATGAGGCCTGCTCTTGCCTTGCACATGTTGAATGCATCATGTGGAAGAACCTTGGTCATGAAATCTGCTGCTTGATCTAATGAGCGGCAAAAGTTGACGGCGAGAAATCCCTTCTCTAGTTGCTCACGAATGAAGTGGTATTGCACCTCGATGTGTTTTGTACGCCCATGATGAACCGGGTTCTTGGAAAGAGCTATGGCTGAAGTGTTGTCCACGTAGAGCGGAGTTGGTTGAGTTTGCGGCTGCCTCAAGTCCTCCAAGAGTCCACGTAACCAGATTGCCTCCCTTGCTCCTTCGGTCACTGCCATGTACTCAGCTTCGGTTGTTGAAAGTGCCACACAACTTTGCTTGCACGATTGCCAAGAAACACCGGCACCACACATGAGGAAGATGTAGCCGCCAGTAGACTTGCGTGTGCTCAATTCTCCCGCCCAATCTGCATCGGTAAAGCCTTGGAGGGAGCTTGCATATGGGCTGGCTTGGAAGAGAAGACCATGATTAGAAGTACCTTTGAGATACCGAAGAGCTCGCTTGGCTGTATGCATATGAATAGGTGAAGGGGCACTCATGTGTTGAGCTAGCTTAGATACCGTGAATGCTAAGTCGGGCCTTGTGCATAGGGCTGCATACATGAGACACCCAACCTGACTTTGGTAGAGAGCTAGGTCTTGTGGGGATACCTTAAGTGAATTCTCACCATGATGCTCACTCTCCTCAAGACACAACTCCTTAATACCTATGATATCAAGGTTTGACTCTCTCTCTTCATAGGGCTGATGTGAAGACAAAGGGACAAAGTTGGAAGGAAGTGGGGTAGGTGATGGCTTGCTATCATCAAGACCAAACCTCTCAAGGACCTTTTGGATGTACCTTTGCTGGAATAGGAAGATGGACCGTGACTTACGATCTCTCACAATGTTCATACCAAGATAATGACTCGGCTCACCAAGATCGGTCATCGTGAATGCACTTGTGAGAATACCTTTCACCTTGTTGAGAAGATCAAGAGAACCTGAGACTAGGAGGAGGTCATCGACATATACCAAGAGCCAAATGTACTCCCCCTCACTCGTGTGCATGAAGTACAGAGCGTTGTCTCTCATGGACCTTGTGAAACCATGCTTGAGAAGTACCTGCTCTAGAGCATGATGCCAAACCCGTGGGGACTGTTTGAGACCATAAAGGGACTTTACCAAGCGACACACTCGACCCGTATCGTCATCATAACCTTCGGGTTGTGCCATGTATACCTCTTCTTCCAAGACACCGTAGAGAAATGCGTTCTTGATATCCATTTGATGGATATGGAGACCAAGATATGCGGCTATGGCGAGGAGGACTCGTACCGTGGTGTACTTTGCTACCGCGGCAAAGGTTTCGGTGAAGTCAAGACCTGGAATTTGGGAATAATCTTTTGCCACTAACCTTGCCTTGTACCTATCGAGGCTACCATCACCTTTTACCTTGATCTTGTACACTCATTTGACACCAATTACCTTC